ATTTTTTCAGAAGAGTAAATAAACTAATATGAGCAATGCCTAAGTACTTGAGGCCATAGAGAACTCTGATAGATACTATAAACTAAATGTGTAGAAGATGATTGAAACGTAAAACAGGAAGTACAAGTAATAAGAAAATAAGACACCAGAATAGTGGAATATTGAAAAAGAAGTGCATACATATTTTTTAAATGAATAATGTAGTCTTTGAAAGTTAAAATTCATAGCATAGAAATGCATAAAATTAGGCCTGAAAAGATTTGAGGAAATTATGCAGAGGGAAGTATAAAAAGACAATGCAATGGAAAATGTAAAAGACAAGTTTATGGAGAGAAAGTACAGAGTGAGGCCTATCAATATATGTCTAATAAGAGTTGTATTAAATACTAGAGAAGAAGGGAATAGAAGATAGGGGGAGCTATTACCAATCATAAATAGCCTAGAATACCCAGAATAGAGGAAAGAATTTCATTTTCAGATTTAGAAAACTCATTAAGTCCCTTGCAGGATAAACACAAAGATCATACCTGCTCACAGAGAAGATCTTAAAAGATCTAGAGAGAAAAAATAGATTACTTTCAAAGGAATGATAATTAGGCAATTGCAGACATCTTGATAGTGAAAGTAGAGTTAGGAATACAATAAAATGATGCTATCACAGTGCAACCTAGAATTCTATACCCAGCCAACATATCATTCAAGAGTAAGGCCCCCAAAAATACATTTTAGACAGGGGAAATGGGAGCTGATCATCACTCCAAGCCTGAAAGAAGAAAGAAAATGGGTGCAAGCAAAATTGTTGTGCAAAGAAGTTGGCAAACATGATGAAACAATAATTATTGACTTACTACTATTGTTGTTGTAAATGGAAAAATATTAATCACTGATATATAACAATTGTTTTAAATAAGTTTAATGTTTCAAACAAGGTGAAAGTAAATACTAGACAATAATGAGACATAAGATAAAACAGGGTATATAGGAATCAATGTAATTTAAGACTCTTGTATTCTGAAAAGGGAAAGTAGAGATGTATGACTAAGGTAATTGACTTTAAGTCAATAATATGAGTAATCACTAAAATAATAGAAACATCATGTATAACTTTCCTAAAAGAACAGAAGTAGAATGTTTAACTTTGAAAGCATTAAAGGATGAAAAAATGAAGGGATTAAGACCATGAGAAATTTACCCATTGTCACAAGCTAGTTCTTTGTAGAAGTGGGTCTGGAAACTAAAAGTGTATATTTCCAATTCTGCATTATCTTCTCTGGGAATACTCTGGAAATACATCAACCAAATTTGAATTTTTGTAGAGTAAATAAGATTTATGTGTTTGCCTGCTTTTAAAGGTTTGTTTCTTAAAGCTCTAAACACTTGACTCAACTTGCTCTCAACAGAGAGGACAATGATTTTTAACACAGATTATAGTATAGGGCTCCATATACTTTCCCACTCACTTTCCATTGAGCTTAAAAGGAGTAGTGACAAGAAGGAACTATTTCATAGCATCTAACAATCCTTTCATAAATATTCACCAACTGCAAATCTGTGTTTATGGCTGTGTTGGATTGCTGGGTTGAACCTAATAGTCTCTTGCAAGAGATGGACATATATGTAACCATAGAAAGAAGTTAGAATGCATTTAGTTAAGTATGGGCCAAATTTTAAACTGTGGAAATTATAACTTCAAAATGGCAGAATAGTTTTAATGGCACAGAGACCCCTTATATATACATTCTGTCTGATGAGGGTGTTATAGTCTATCAGCGTTTGGGTTCTGATGAAAGACCGGAAAGTACTGCTTATTAAGATTAGTGCTTTGAAAAGTAAAAGAGGTTGAAAATTACGTTTCATTAAAGGGCAAATGAAATAAACCAGAAGTGGTTATTGAAGAACTTGAGTATCTGGGGCCTGATGTACCAAAAATTATAATTAACTGATTTTTTAAAAAAAAGAAATACTGAGAGAAATGCAAATGACTGCAATTTAGAAAGCAATTTCTAAGGGGATTTTTAGGATGTCTACAAATCTAATCTCCTATCTTTCTAATTCTCAACATTAGATATTGAATATTGACATTAAGGATGGTAGACATTAGGGATGAAAAGGACATTAACAACACCCTAAATTTTATCTACTCTCTTAATAGATCTTTGCCCAAATCTTCCTGTGAATATAATGATACATAATTTAGACAACAAATATTTCTTGAATGTATTCTATGTCTGCCTCTATGTTATAATTCTATGGAGAAAAAAAACAGGTCACAACTTTATTTAAAGCCTTAGTATCGTACTATTCTAAACTCAGATCTCTGATTAAATTTCTTTTGCAGTTATAGAAGGGGGAGCTTTAATGAATTTTTCATTTCTTTTATATAGTTATATTACCCATTTTCTTGCTATTCCCATGCTATTACAAGAAGAATACTGAATATATGTGACATAGTAGGCATTCAGTGAATGTTGACTACATTGGATAAAATATTTTGGGTAGCAGTAAAGTAGATGGGCTTTCTTTTTCTGGCATTTAAGCCTCAATTTCCTCATCTATTAATTTACCTCACAAGAGTATTTTGAGATTTAAATGGGAACACAGGGTAAGTGTTTAATAAATATTAATTTTTTTAGAATAAAACAACTAAAACAAATGTTAAGCAAAGAGAAAAATTAAAAATAATGTACTAAAAGTATACATTTTTAAAAGAAACAACCACATTTAACATGGACATTAAAGTCTTCACATCCAATTAAGAATAAATAATCATAAATATATAATTTATTATTAAAATTATTTTTACAGACTTCCCTTGTGGCACAGTGGTTAAAAATCCACCTGCCAATGCAGGGGACATGGGTTCGAGCCCTGGTCCAGGAAAATCCCACATGCCGTGAAGCAACTAAGCCCGTGTGCCACAACTACTGAGCCTACACTCTAGAGTCCGTGAGCCACAACTACCGAGCCCACGTGCCATAACTACTGAAGCCCACGCGCCTAGAACCTGTGCTCTGCAACAAGAGAAGCCACCGCAATAAGCCCGTGCACCGCACCAAAGAGTAGCCCCCACTCGCCACAACTAGAGAAAGCCCATGTGCAACAATGACCCAATGCAGCCAAAAATAAATAAATTTATAAAAAATTATTTTTACTACATCATTAAATTGATTTATTTTATCACATTTTAAGTCTTAAAATCATTTTTGGGAAAAATTCTTTTGAAGGAAAAGCAAAAGATATATGTGGGACTATGTAAAAATTTAAATGTACTGTATAAGCTTTCAATACAGAATTAATAATTCTTTTTTAAAAATTTTATTTTTATTTTTGGCTCTGTTGGGTCTTCATTGCTGTACACAGGCTTTCTCTAGTTGCGGCAAGCAGGGGCTACTCTTCGTTGTGGTGTGTGGGCTCCTCATTGCGGTGGCATCTCTTGTTGTGGAGCATGGGCTCTAGGCACACAGGCTTCAGTAATTGCAGCACGCGGGCTCAGTAGTTGCGGCACGCGGGCCCTAGAGCACGCAGGCTTCTGTAATTGCGGTGCACGGGCTCTAGGGTGCGTGGGCTTCAGTAGTTGTGGCACGTGGGCTCTAGAGCACAGGCTCAGTAGTTGTGGTGCATGGGCTTAGTTGCTCTGGGGCATGTGGGATCTTCCCGGACCAGCGATTGAACCCATGTCCCCTTCATTGGCAGGTGGATTCTTAACCACTGCACCACCAGGGAAGTCCCAAATAGTGGCTTTTCTAGATACACTAAGAACTTTAAATTTTACTTGATCTAAGGTAACTGCAATCTTTCTTCTATTTATCTCCAGTTTTTAAAAGATTTTTCCCTGAATCTTGTTTCCTGTTCTTATGACATTTGAAAGAAGAGCAATCAGCTTTTTCCAAAGTACTTATTAGGATATGTGGGGAATTATCCATTTGTGGTCACCTGGGAAAATCACAGCAATTGATATTGATGTTAATATTACAAAGCTGAGAAGTAATTATAATATTTGGAAGTATTTTGACCTAACTCTAAAAGTGTTAGGTAGAGGAAGAAATTCTTTAGACTTCTATTTTTATTTACAAATCACTTTTAAAAAAGCTACAACATTCTTTCTTATTTTTGCTTATACTCCACTTTTGCAATTGCTATCATTTCACCACTAAAACTTAAAAGAAACAAAGAACCATGAAGTAACATTTGCCATTTGACAAATCTGATTAAACCAAAGGTGTTTACCATTGAAACCGACTCTGCTCACCCACTCCATCTCAAGTTTACTTTCTGTTAGACAAAATATTACTGTCTTTTCCCAGAAGGAACCCAAACCATTGTCCATTGGAAACAGTTATGTTTTAGACTGTTAAACATTGCGGGGGGTTATAAAATACAAAAATAAGTATTGGTCGTTGGAATAGATTTCAAAAGTGTTTGGAATATGTATTCCAAAGACATCTTAAGAGTTCTTGGCTAGATTAAAGAAAGATGTTGAAATAGGGAGAAAAAAAAACTGTTTTGTAACTTGTACTTAGTGTACAAACATAGCCGCAATTACCAGATCCATTTAAAATGATAATTTAATAAAATCATGAGGTTAGCAGAGAATGAGCACACAGTTTATTCTGAAGGTTAGTCATAGTTTTAAAAAGAATGCTTTTAGTATGCCATCTTTGACATGCCATGTTTGCCATTTGCAGAGAGGACAGACTGTAGAGCTAAATAGACACAGATAGGGATTTAATCCTCTTACTATCTGTAACAATGGGCAAGTAAAGGAGTTAGCTTCTTCCTTGCTCCATGCTGTCATCTGTAAATGGGAATAATAATACATGATGTAGAAGTCATGTGATGGATAATATAATTTTGGTACAGTGCTCAGTAGAGTAACAGGCACTTAGTTGGTGCTTAATCAGTGTTAGGTCTTATTATTATTTATCCTGACCAGAAACTTACATTCAAAAAGCAACTTGTTGTTTTTTTTTGTTTTGGCCACAACATGTGGCATGCAGCACTTTCCTGACCAGGGATTGAACCTGCACCCTCTGCAGTGTAAGTGCAGAGTCTTAGCCACTGGACTACCAGGAAGTCCAAAAAAGCAACTCTGTTTTACTTTTTCTTCTTTTGTGAATTCTCACATCACCATAAAGAGAGTTTACTTGCCAGTAACCTTTTAATTTTTTGAAAGTGGAACAGTGTCACAGTAATTTATAATTAGTAATATTTATTCAACAAATTTTGTCAAATAACTAGTATTCAGAGTCTAATGGTAGGCACCAAAGAGGTAGAAAAATAAGAACACTTTTATTTCAAATAGCTTTTATTCACACTAGGACTAGAGGAAAGTCTAATTCAGTAAAAAACACAAGACAAAAGGAGATCTTTCACACTCTTAAGGAGAATCATGACATTAACAACATCAGCAGTAATTTGGAACACGCCATTGAATTTTCCATTCAATATTTTCAAATACAAAAAAAGGAATCAGATAGAAGGTGAACAGTCCATGAGCATGTTCAACAATGGTATTGTTATTAGGTATTAATCCTTTATTAGATAATTATTTTTCACATCTGGGAAAACATCACTGGCAGCACAATTTTAAGAAGTTTGGCAACACGTATTTTTCTCAGCAGCTCTGGATGATAGATTTTGGTGAATGCTAGCCAAAAAAATTAAGGGCAAAACCACTGGTGCACAGAGGACAATAAACTGATCTTATTACAGAAACAGATATCAGACCACAATATAAAAAACATTTTAATTTTACACTAAGCCAGAAACTCCAGATTATTGGCATACACATCAACAAGCCAGGTCTAGAGTGTTTAATCACAAGAGTGATAAATATTGGTTTTCTGCCTGCTCTGCCCACCTTACTTAAAAATATCAGTATATTTGCTTTCAAATGACACAAACTGTCAAGGCTATAATCTACAAAATGATCACTCACTTTTAACAACATGGCTGTTATACCCAGTCACCACTGAAAGGACAGTTTCATAGAACCTAGCTCTGCTTACCCAGAAAGAGTTTAAGAATCTTACAATTTAGAAAGAGCATATGCAGATTTTTATCTTTGCATACGTAAGGAAGTGCCATTCCTCCTCAGATTTTAGAATTCTTAATTCTTATGTTTTAAAAACTTGTTCCATTTCTACTCAATTTTAAGTTAGTAAAAGCAATAGCCAGATATTGTTGCAAGATCTCTATCAAATGTCATAAAATGCCAACTCCAAGAAAGGGCACCACAATGAAGCCTAAAGGGCATGGCCACAATGTCCCACAACACATTTGACCCTCCTTATTTTATTTGATGTTGCAACATTTGGCTCTAATGTACCTAAGGCCCAAACAGAAAAATAAAAGCACTTCAATTTTCTTTGAATCAATTTTCTTTGAATAGTCTGGAAATATCTTACTTCCAAATTATATTTATTTAAAAATTTATCTTTTGTCATTTTTTTCTTATGGTTGGAATTTATGCTTGTGGGTTTGACTCATAAAACATCATCCAGAGGGCAGGAAAAGTCTATATACAATCTTGTATGTGATAATGCACAAGATAATTAGGTAGTACCAAGAACGGTGGAAAACTATATTTGAGACAAAAAAATTCTGTATTAATGAAACAAATGTCAGGTCCAAAACTGTAGACCAAAACACATTAACCTGACTTATCTTTTAAGATAAGAATAGCAAAAAGTCAAGCGGTTCTTGAAAGAAAGAGATAAAAAAGAAGATAAAAAGTATCTACTAGAGTGTTTATATAAAATGGCACAAAGAGAGCATACCTAGTGATGTCTCAGAAAATAAGTTGCCAAGGTTGCTTCAACTTAGGAAACATAAAGTAGAGATTTAAGAAATTGTTCTGATAGTTTAGATACGGCAATTTTGCTGTACGCAGGCCTCTCACTGCTGTGGCCTCTCCCGTTGCGGAGCACAGGCTCCGGACGCGCAGGCTCAGCAGCCATGGCTCACGGGCTCAGCCACTCCGGGGCATGTGGGATCTTCCCAGACCGGGGCACGAACCCGTGTCCCCTGCATCGGCAGGCGGACTCTCAACCACTGCGCCACCAGGGAAGCCCAGATACGGCAATTTTGTATTGGCAGTTGGATAAGGGAAGGAGAGAGGGGTGGAAAGGAAATTATTGGTTAGAAAGATTGGCACTGTACGGTGAATTCACCACATATTTACTAAGTGTTCCAGTCTGAGAATTAAGATGGTTTGAGAAATTGTTTCACCCCTGTTACAACCCTATTACCCTATCATTGAGGTCAAGTTGAAGCAGCCCCAGATCAAGAGTCTAAGGTTCAATTGTCTGACCCAACTATTTCCAGGATATTAATAACTGACTCAGGTGTTGCATAAACTATTACATAAAACCTGCCAAGTGTATCATAGAAAAAACAACAAACTGCAGTTGATTTGGAGAAATCAAGTTCTACAGCCCTGTGTGAGTATACCATGTTCATCTAAAAAATTTATACTCTGGTCACATGACAATCATGCCGTGCTTCATGAAGCACTGATGGAGTAAAAGCAAGTTGGTAGGAGGCAAGGGCTATGATTTTCAATGTAAATATGACCAGGAAAAAAGCCACACATAGGCACTTACATATTTTAGTGAGGGTGTTGATGAAGATGATGTAATACTTACGACACTTCATTAAAAAGGCAGTGAATAGTACAAAATACTGCTGGAGACCAAAATATACTTGTGTCCTTTGGGAATACAAGACACATTTGATGATGATCATGACCATGCTGATGATCAGATTTGAAGACAACAATAAAATGCCTTCATTTCTTAGCATACATCATCTGGTTTTCATTTCTTTTGGAGGTGAAAATGCCCTCTTTATGGAATGGTTGAACAGGTGTGTTGTTTCCTACATCTTCTTTTTTTTTTTTTTCTTCTCTTTCCTCAGTAAGTCAAGTGATTTCATTCCTGAAGCAGGAAAAGAATGTTAAGATAGATGCCGCTAGAAGTGACAATATCCAACTCTTGACAGAGTGTGATTATTTCAAGCTCAGAATGAATCACTTTTAAGACAGAAACCTTTGGCTTGTTTGTTTTTGTGGTTATTAGGCATTTAATACTTCCACTGAGACAAACTGAGAGTAAACTTTCTAAAGATCAACAGTAAAAAATATTTAAATAGTCTTAAACATAAATGCTAGGACAAAAAATAAGTATAAAAGTGCTGATTGGAGAGAAATTTTCTCCCAGGAGAACTCCCACTGATCATTTTATTTTACTTCCATATGGAATCTGTAAAGAAACCTAGTAAATCCACAAAGCTTTGAGAATGATCTTTGGAAATAGGACAGTACTGAATTGTTGGGCAAGACCAGCCCTATAGTTTCTGAAATGTTCCTGTGAGGAGATGTTGTCCTGCTTTTAAATCTACCATGTTGCCAGTGAGAGGTGTGGGAGAATTTTGCAAAGGGTTATAGTCAAAACTGAAGGCAAGATTTCAGTTCCTACAATTAATAATGGAAATGCGATTTACAATAGTTTTTCATAAGTATCTCTGTTTTCTCCAGAAGCTGACTTCTATCTCCACTGTTGGTGTTGTAAATTTGTTAAAATATTTTAAAATGTTTCATCTCAAAATGTTCTCATTTACTAAGCAATGATTAAATAGCCTCTATTACCATTTGAGGTCCATTTTACTTATTATTTAATAAAACTGTCTGGTTTTCAATTTAATATACAACCCCAGATTGTACTATATAATTGAGAAAATTTTCTTACGTTTTCTTTTTGGACTTACTATCAAATCTTATTAAAGTCCTGGCATTGTTTAGTAATAGATTTCTCAAAAATCTTTATTTTAATTCCTCATATATAAGTTATTATGAGATTGTGAGAAAGCCTATGTGATTATCCTTCAAAGCATGGATCAGAAAGAGATATATTATTGGTAATGCTTCAAGAGGAGTTTTTCTAACAGACTCTTACTGGGAACTATTGTGAGCAATAAAAATTAAATGTATAAGTGAAGAAAACTATACCAAGTGAAACTACCCTTTTAAAAAGTACTGTTCTATTTCAAAGGAAGTGTTGATATTCCCCAAAAGCCTCCCTTCTGTCCCTGAGGGCTACATTACATCTTGTAACGATATAATCAAAAAGCGCTGGCATTCTGTTCTTACAACTACATTCAGCTGTGATTAATCCTCTCCATAGTTTATCTGTCTCTCTATGTATCCTAAAGACTCTAACTGCAACCAATTGGGTACCATATCACTTGGAAGGATGTGTGATTAACTCATTAATGTGTCATATTTTAAATCTAAATAACCTTGGAGATGTCCTACTGATTTGGCTTTATCAGATTGATGGCTATGCCTAAGTATGTGGTAAAATAACTGCAGGAAACTTCAGTAAATTAGTATGTTTGCATTATACTGTTTCATTTTCTTATTCAAAATCTAAAAACTATCTGGGAGGACTGAGAGGAATAATAGAGATTTGTAATTATGAAGTTGATTTTAAAAAGTCACAATTATGTTTCCACTTACCGTATGTTATAGCTTTCCTTTTTAAAGGGTGGGGGTTGTCTTCTGTTTTTAAGCCTTTGGTTTCTTTAAGTAAAATCTCCTCAAGTAATTACAGCAAAAACAACAAGAGCTAGCAAATATGATTGGCATGAATTTCTCTAAAAATGTCATGGAAAAAAATTCATTACTATTGTGAATCTAGATTGACCTTACCCTTATGCAATGAAAGTAATTTTTAACTAATACTGAGTTACATTCCATTTCAGATTTCCTATTTCAAAGGGTGTCTCAAATTTCTAAGATGTTAAACCAAGTATTGAGCCATTTTTGTATATGTAATAAAAGTCTTTAAAATTAAAATGGTAATCCTAAAAAAACCAAATGCATGAAAAATATGGTCTGACTGTATAACAAAAGGGAGTTATATAATTCTACTTGAGTGAAATCTTTCATCTTTGATTTACAGGTTGGAGTCCTCTTTAACTAAAACCATATTGTCCCATATCTTTCATATCATGGCCTTCCCTAAAACCTTGTTTTAATTAAGGTTTCTTTCAGATTTTTGAATAAAAGCATGACAATCTTCACTTATGGCTTTAATATATCCTTTGAGTTAGGAAAATATATAAAAAGAAACATCAACTCTTTTGAAAGCACTGTCAGATATTAAATACTGCGAGGTATTCTACATCAATGTCTTTAGGTGTCTGAGTTACACATTGAAATAGAATTTGGGGAGGTAGGGGGATAACCTACTTATATTTAGTAAACTGCTTTTAATCTCAGAAATAAATGTCCTATATTTTTAGCCTTTAACACTAAGTCAACATGTGTAAAGGTTAAGTTCGTGTTGTTTTTTTCACATGAAGGCACAACTTCAAGGATAACTCAATTCAAGGTGACTTCAAATAAGCAATGCCTTCATTAACACATTTCAAAGATCTAGAAAATTCAGTAACATTGCTTAAGCCCTCAATGGTTTTAGAGCTAAAAGAACACATCAGACCAAGCAGCTGTGTTAACCTGGGAAGCAAGAAAATAAACTGAGTCCTCAAAGCTCCTGAGTAATTGGGGAGATTATGGGTAATCCTCATCTTTTTTATAGGAAGGAAGGATGAAAGGCAAGAAGAAAGGAAGTGATGGAAAGCAGAAAAATAAAAGTGAGAGAATAAGTTCTTGATAGATTTGCAACAAATTAAGATGGCCTTTGAAAAGTTATGCACTTTTCAAAGACATTGAAAATCCTCCGTGGAACATATGCTCAGAGCTACTGTCACCAGAGCAAGGGATGTATGAGGGAGGAAGGAGACTTCATCCTAAATCAACTGCAAATCTCCTGTGTGTGAGAACACAGAGAGGGATGTTAGGAAAACAGGGTAATTTTTCTCAAAAAATGTGATATAAAATATTGCACCATTACATAAAATGTGTGAGGTTGCTTTGGCATTGGACTTTGAGATACACTGTGGTTTATTCCACTGAAAAAAGCCTCATCCTCGTTCCTCCATCTTGGACTCTTCCTAGCAAGAGTTGAACCATATGTTAAAACAAAGGCCCAAAACAAACAAAACAAAACAAAAAAAAAACCCCATGATCTGTCGGGAATTGCTATCCTTTCATAGCTGAAAGCAAATCCTGTAAACAATTTAAGACTGTGTGACGAAAAAGTTCCCAATAAAAAAACTGATCAGAATGTCAGGAATGAGATTTCTCAGGTTTTGCCCAAAATTTCGCTGGCTGTCAGACCATCTGTAATTAACAGTATCTAACGCTGTACTGGATGTTTCTAGTTCATACTTTGGGCCTGGGAGTGGGTCACCCAGCATATTAAAAGCACTCTGGAAGCAGTTTCTTCCAATCGTGGTTTACTGTAACTTTAGAATCATAGCGGTTACTTTTAAGGAATCTTTAATGCCCTTTCAAGTCCATCCAAAGAACAAGTGAAGCTGCTGTTCAGAATTTTGTGCCCAGTGTTTATGTTCCATGGAATCTGTGCCACCCAGGCAGCAGACAAGACATGTCTGAGGGTGCTGGGGTGGCGGGGGATATGCAATGATGTCACACACAGGAAATATCGGGGGTGGGGAAGGCTGGGGAGGACTTGGCGCTTCACAAGGCTGGCTCCTCTTCCATAGGCTCGCCAGCAGTTCTGTAAAAATAAACAGGCAATCAGAATACAGCATAAGAGTACACAATGACATTGTAGATTTTCATGCATAATCAAAGCTGATTTTTCAGCTCTCTCTGATGTTTATTTGTGTTATTCGGTTATCCATAAATAGAGTTTCTTTCCTAGGAAGTATAAACAAATGTCAAGTGGAAAAACATTTTCGATCCAAGCAATCATTGGAAATGTTCCTGTTTATATTAAAACATGTCAGAATATTTTATAACTCTAGATTCCAAAATGTACATGTTTTGTGTCTAGTACAGTCCAATAATTTATTGAAAAAATTAACTATGATATTTTATTTTAGGAGCAATTACAGTGATTTCCTATGGAACCAGTTTGCTAACGAGAGCAAAGGACCCAGCTAGCTTCTGGAGGAGACTCACCAGGGCTCTGGTTTTTTTGCTTCTGTTCTTTCATAACTGGATTGGCTGCCTGCCGGAGGCATTTCAAATCAAATTCTGAATCTGATTAGCAAATCACTGCTACAGACCCAACGTTTTTACAAGAAACGCACTATGGTAGTGTGTAAATAGTTTTTATTCGGCATCATCTGAGGGGTGTTCTGCTCTGGCAAAACCAAAACTAATTGCTTGAAAATTTATACTTGAGATTTAGCCTTAATTTAGTAACACTCTGAGGGTGTTTTAAAGCAAACTTTTAGAATGATTTTTAATTTAGTCAAAAGGACAAATTGTAGCAGGAATCCAAATGCATGAGGTAGCTGGATTGCTGAGGGAAGAACGCTGGGGTTTGAGATGCCGGGAGAATTGAGTATGAGTCTGGGCTCTGCGATTTGCTAATGTTGCAACTGCGAATGTTGTAACTATACTTCTGTGAAGTTGTGGTTTCATGTTTAAAACCCGTGAGGAAAAAAGATGTTCCTTACAGAATTAGTGAAGGTTAAACAAAATAAAGGAGATAAAGTGGACTTCTAAACAATACACACTATGAGGCAGTAGTTATTTAACTCTGGATTTGTCCCCTCATCATCTAACATATGTATAAAACTGTGTTGAATGGTACACAGATACAGTTATGCCTGTGCTACCGTAAGGAAATGCAATATTGGGAAGATAGTTCTCTCTGGGTGGTGGAATAATAGGTAGGTGGTTTAAATTTTCTTTTTCACACTGTTTTTCTACTTGCCAGTATTCCATAATGAATTACTTTTCTATTAGAACAAATTGCTATATTTAGAACACTGCTGTTAATGAAGAAAAATGAACAATTTAGCCATGTTATTTTATAGATATATAAAGAAAAAAACCAAGATTTCTGTGTATCTACAAATAAGGTAGTTGCCATTTTAATTTAGCATTTTTATAATAAATTTAAAACACTGAAAGATTTTATCCATGGAATAGTAATAAAAAAGATTTTAATGCATCCTCTAAAGAATGAGAAATATTAGGTATTCATTATTTAACATTACTAAAAGGAGAGAGTTCCAAATGAGTCCATGTGGAATACTTAAAAAAAAATTCTTAGGAAGTTATAGCCTGTCCAACAGTATACTGGATAAGGAGGTTGTGAGAAAGTGTTTAGAGCTGCTATATAAGATAAAAGCTATTTAAATGAGTCATACTCTATTAAAATCTTTCCAAACTAAAATTATCAGCATTCCCACAAGAAAATTTTTAAATTAAGGAAAACATTTAAGTAACTAAACTGATTTATACGTAAACATGCAAACTTATTTACATTTGAGAATATGTGGATTATACAGGTATAGAATCCTCAAACTAGATACTCCAATGGAGACTGAATTCTCCTATTTACTTTTTCCAAACTTTATTGAGATACAATTGGCATATAACATTGTATAAGTTTAAGACAATGTGACGATTTGATACACATATATATTGTGAAATGTTTACCACAATAATATATCCTTCACCTCCCATAACTACCATTTTTGTTGTTATGATGAGAACATTTAAGATTTAATCTCATAGCAAATTTTGAGTATACAATACAGTATTGTTAGCTGTAGTAATCATGCTGTATATCAGATCCCCAGAACTTATTCATCCTATAACTGGAAGCTTGTACCTTTTGACCAACATCATTCCATCTCCTCTATCTCCCAGCCCCTGTTAACCATCAATCTACTGTTTCTATGAGTTCAACAGTTTTTTTTTCCAGTTTTATTGTAAATAATTGACAAACCTCACTGTATCAGTTTCAGGTGTACAGCATGATATTCTGACTTACATATATTGTGAAATGATTACCACAGTAGGTTTAGTTAACATCCATCATCTCATATAGAGAGTTCAATGTTTTTAGATTTCACATATAAGTGAGATCATATCATATTTATCTTTCTCTGTCTTAGCATAATGCTCTCAAGTTTCACCCACGTTGAACCTTCTTTTTTATGGCTGAATAATGTTCTGTTGTATGTATATACCACATTTTCTTTGTCGATTCATCTATCACTGGACACTGAGGTGGTTTCCTTGTCTTGGCTATTGTAAATAGTGCTGCAATGAACATGAGAGTGCAGATACCTCTTTAAGACAGCGATTTTGTTTCCTTTGGATATATACCCAGAAGCGGGATTACTGGATCACATGGTAGTTCTACTTTTACTTTCTTGAGGAACCTCCATACTGTTTTCCATAGCAGCTGCATCAATTTACATTCCCATCAACAGTGTAAATAGATCACTTTCTCCATATCCTCACTAATTTGTTATCTCTTGTCTTTTTGATGCAAGCTGTATTAGCACATGTGAAGTGATATCTTGGTGTTGTTTTGCTTTGCATTTCCCTGATAATTAGTGATGTTGAGAACCTTCCCATGTAGCTGTTGGCTATTTGTATGTCTTCTTTAAAAATATCTCTATTCTGGTCCTTTTCCTTTTTTTTTTTTTTTTTTTTTTTTTTT